ATTTTAAAAAATAAAAAAATATTTTAATATATTTTGATATAAAAAATAGTTTGAAGAGCAGCAACAATTCTACTCTCGATCAAAAAAAAAATATATAGGCTTGAATAATTGGTAACTAATTCGTCTCTATCTATCGTGTTGAGCAGCTGTTGATTTATCACTTCTCTATTCCATGTGTTGCATAAAGTAATTACATGGTAAAGGTGGCCATGGTCTATGCATGAAAAGTTGAAGGTGCCTTGGTTTTTTTTCTTGTTTTTAGATTAATATGGGTGTTCGGGTCAGCTTATGTGCACTATGACTAATCCCACAGACTCTGAAGTTAACGACTATGTAAGCCTCTAGTGACCATCATATGAGCAACTAAGGACTCGAATCTAAAACCATAAAGGAGTAACTTCTTGATCCCAAATTCTTATCACTTACCATCACCTAGAGAATTGTTTTTTTTTCCTTGAACAATGGTGAAGGTGCTTTAAGACATAGACCATTTTGCTTTTGGACAAATTAAAAGTAGGATGTTAAAAATTATGAAGATTCGAGAGATGTGACGGCTGTGATCATGTTCTTTTGGATAAGCTTAGCTAGAGAGCATCTTGGGTGCTAACCATGGTCAATAATTGCAGGGAGTCCCGATCGTTTGGTTTAATCATGCTGCTTTCTGCCAGTGGACTATATTATATATATATTATCATGTCAAAGAAGATTTAAACGATGCTGCAACATCCCTTTTAATAATATTAATATTAGTAATAATGTTAATAATTATGATGATAATATTAAGAACAGCAACAACCAACATTCGGTAAAGAATTAGGATTTTATGTAGGAATTGAAATTGTACATGTTGTTGTTTGAAATTATATCTGTGTCTCTTAAACTCTTTATTCAATAGTAATTATAGTTTTAGGTGTTGTTTGGTAATATTTAATATAGTGTGGGAGCTATTTTTAGGTCATCCCTTCCATCTACCTACCTTACTTTCCACTATGCCTTGGATCATGCATTATTAGAGCTTTTAATTCCTTGCCCAGAAAATGGCAGTAAAGTAGCGAGGTGCTGGTTGTTTTTCCCTTTTCTTTTCTAATATTCAAAAAACTGGTTCGAATATTCTTAATCATTTTTAATGATCACATTCTCTCTAAGTCTTAAACTTTGCCGTGTAGGGTTTTGGACTTGTGGCGATCACAAGAAAGTATTGAGAAATATATATTAAACCTAAATCTTATACGTATGAGGTTGAACCACCTCTTATAGTTCATTAAGAAGTATTCTAGCACTTTTAATTAGCCATATATATATATATTATAGACACACATAAACATATTAAATAAATTCTTGTCTCCCCTTATGCTCCCATCTTACTCATTGGATGACATTGATTTTAGATTGCTAAACTCGAATTTACTATTTAATATCTTGTATTAAAGATTTAAAATTTGATTTTTATTAAAATTACATTGAAAATATCGATTATTATATATATATATATATATCACATTGAGAAATTAAAGACTTAAAGGGATATTTATACAAAATATTTTATGAATTTATCATAAATTATTATTTTATGAAACAAGTTATACAATATTTGCTAAGCAATACTATAATAATATAAAAAAATAATGGTAATGAAATAACAAAGATGGTGAAGTAATTATAGTAGTGAGAGTGATGAGGTGATAGTAGTCATGGAAAAAAATACGAGGATATTAAAGATGATGATTATAGTGGTAAAAGAGAAAGAGATGATCATGAGTAACAGGATTAGTGATAATTTTTATGAAATCAGGATTAGTTCATGAGTAACAGGATTAGTGATAATTTTAAAATAGTTATATGATATTATGATTTGATTATTATTTGTAAAACATTTTATGTAATTTTATAAATCAAAAATATTTTTAATATAAAGTACTGACTTCATAATTAATTTTTCTTTAAAACATTATAGTATTTTACACTAATCAGCACTTTAATAAAATATTTTACATAAAACAAAGTTTCCCTTGGTAAAAATTTATTTTGGCAAAGGAAAAATCTAAGTAAGAAAAAGGATAATATAGCGACTGGGTTGTTGGGGTAAAATAGGATACGAGAAGGACAAAAGGTCGACGGCCAGAGATTCTTCATTATTTGCTCCCCACCATTTGCATATATGTATTACAGATGGATGAACAGGTAAACCCTAATCCAACAAATCAAGCCATGAAAAGGAAGATGGATCCTCCTAATCCATTAATGAAGGGCCATGTGGAAACTTGCAAGGCCATCCTCCATTCTTACACTCTTTAAGGTTCCCTGTCTTGAACATGTGGTAGGAGAATCCCATTTTTAAGATCCTTAAATTCTCTATAACCTTTTAGTTATACTGATCTCTTGTTGTTTTTCCATTTCCATTATATAATAATCATTTGCTCATGACAACAACCGCAAGAACTTAGAATGTAAACAATGAAGATTTCTGCAGATAGATTTATCCCATGAAAGATTTCTTTGTACAGATCATGATAAGACTGCTTTCATGGGACAAACGTTTTGGCCTTTTGGTTAATGTGTGTACTTCGCAATGTTATTGTCATAATATATATTGCTGTCTCCAAACCTTGGTTTTATTTATTTATATTCTATATAAAAAAATCAACAAACATTAGCACAAGAAAAAGAAAAAAAGAAGAGAAAACGTTTAGTTTATGTCTTGCAATAAAAAAAAAAGATAGTATGGATAAAAGAAACATATTCCTTGTATTTTCAATTTTAAAAGTATAAAAATTTATTTTAAAACTGTTCTAATAAATAAATTTATTTTATATATTTATGTTTCTTCCATCAAACATGTTTTATGGTTCTTTATATATGTCTCTTTTTTCTTACTATGTAACACTATAACTTGAATTATATAAAGAAAAAACTAAAAAAAATCAAGGAAAGGGAAGAATAAAATTAAGATTTCTATAAAAAGAAAAACAATAATAATTGGTGTACTCTCACCTTTTACCCACCAAAATTCTCTTCGGTACAAAGGAACATGGAAACTTGAAACTATGGCCAGATCTTGGTAGAGAAATGGGGCCTTCTCTGACCCTCCGGGGGCCGGCCAAGTTCAATTCTTCATTCAAACTTGTAACTTCTCATAATGACAGGAGAGTGACCACTGAATTCATGCTGTAACACAAGATCATCAAGTATAAAGGCATTTTTTACACCAATCTATGCATAGAATCCCATTTCTTTTCATATGAACAAACATGGCTAACAATCAACAATGGTTGCTTTCAAGAAGCCAAAAGGCAACTCTACGATTACAAAGCGAATTAAGAAAATCAAAATAGACACCCGGATAATTTTAGCTCAAAAAATGACTGCTAAAAAGCCATTACCAAAGCAATTAAAGACAGCCGCAAACAAAACCGATCGAATTCAGACTGAAAAATAGTTGCTTATTTTGACAATATTATTGAGAATCATTAGGGTTTTCATCTCCACTGTCACTGCCTTGTGGCTGTTTTTCTTGATTATTTTGCTCAAGATCCATGCCCAAACCAACCCTACTACTGCTATAAGCATTCACACCACCAAATATCATCCCCATATTACTCTCTGACAGTCCTAATCCAAGCTGCTGATTAGCTCCCACTTGCTGCTGCACTATCATGGAACCAAGTTGAACTGGGTTCGAAACGCGGCTGCTGCCACCAAAATTCACTCTTTGCATTGATGTCACTCCAGCAGCTGCTCCTGCTGTAGGAAAAGTCCACATCTGGGGTTCTGTAACGGCAGCTGCTGGGGTGGCACCACCTCCTACTGGTAACATCCAGAATGTATTGCCACCATTTGTGGTTGCGGCCGGCGCAACTGCCCACATTGGAGTTGGCAGAATGTTTGTTGCTGGCCTAATAGAACCAGCTGTTTCTTGATCTTGAACTCCAGTTCTTGATTTAGCAGAATTACTAGCTTCAATTGTTTCCGTGCTTTGTTGCTGTGTGGTTTCCTTAAAAAGATCTTCTCGAAAAGTCTTCCTCATGTAATTATCATCGGAGACAAGATTTTGAGGATACAACTGATGGTGGAATCCTAACATATGAGGGTTAGATGCCATAGCTCTTCGAGTTTCGCTGGCATCATTAGCATCATAGAAAGCTAATCCACTATGAAAAGAAAGAGGAGCTGATTTTGATGCAGGTGCTGAAATAGTAGCACCACTGCTTCGTAAAGAAACATTCAAAGTGGAGAAATTGGCAGGAATTGTACCAGTACCAGTTGTAGCAATTATGGAAGGCTCAGCTTGCTGTAGTAACCACTCGATGGTTTCTCCGTCAGATTTATGGCCTAATTCTCTTGTGAGCTGAAAGACACGTGCCGCACACATGGCTGGCATCCGGATGCGTCGGCCGCGGCCATCTACCTTGGTATGGCGATCTTTTGACGGCCTCTTTATGGTGGATTTTGTAATGGTAGAATTGGAAGTTGAAGTGGAAGGATGGACACCAATTTGGCTAGATATGGAGCCCATAAATGGGCCCTGGGTTGTTGTTGTAGTAGAAGTAGACCCATGTTGCTGTTGAAGCTGTGATGATTGACTTCCAAGAGGGACTACTAATTGCAGTGAAGCTGCTACTGATTCCTCTTTTTGGCCATGGCGATCT